GGACCATTTTCATTTATATAGTGCTCTTGTGAACACAAATTAGTTAGCATAAATCTGTTAAACGACGAAAACTTAGGTGTCTATTTACTTGTGACCACTCAGTGTATGTATTTTTGATGATGATATTATTAAAAATTTTTTGTTTAAGGTTTGAGAAAGATATGCTGTTAAAATAAGTGTTTCTGTTTCAGGATTGAAACACCAGTCATCTCATCGATCATCAGAAACTAAACTTATTTATCATGTAAGTATATAAATCAAGATGTGTATTTCAGAAAACAGATGTGGTTTAGCACTTAATTCAATGAATCCTGCTGATATTTTTGTAGATATCTATAAATCTGCTCAGAAGCTCAACTTGTAATGCCTGTAAATGTGGTGAAGTAGTTGGATTAGCTTGTCTTTATTCCATATATACAACATTCTTCTTGAAATATGCTATCTTAAAAATTTATTAAAGTTTGGAGACTGCTTGACTGGGTAATGAAGAAAACTTTATTATAAATGTACGACATTTCGACAAGATTATCTCATCCTTAGGTACAAGTAGTTTACAGACACACATGAATATACATATACAGTATGGAACAAAGAGGTCATATGACCAGAGATTGATTCATATAGGTATCTTGGTATCCCTGGGTGTTGGTTTAGGGTGGGACTGTTTTGTTCAATTAGGATAGCTTCTTTTATTCTGCATTTATTGACGTTTAGTTCTTTGTTTAAAATTGCAGTATTTTGTGTAAGATATACTGTGTTTTTTGAGTTGCAGTGGTGGTAAACATGGGAAGGTTTGTTATTACGTTTGGTGAATCTGGTTTCCAATTTTCTTCCGGTTTCTCCGATGTAGAATTCTGGACAGTTATTACATGTTATTTTACAAACAAAGTTAGTATTGTGTGAATCTATGTAATTTTTACTTATTAATGATTTCAGTTTAGGGCTGGGATTTTGGGTGAATTTGAAGTCAACAGGAATTTTATGTTTGATGACAAGTTTTCTCCAAGTGTTGATTATTTTTGAACTGATGTTAGGGATAAATGGTAAACTGCAGTGTAACATTGTATTGTTTGTTTTTTTTTGTGTATTAGTGTCAATTTTGTTTGTGAGTAGAGTTTGAGGTTTTTATTCTGGTGGTTGTGTGGAAATTTTTTGACAATGGTTAGTAGAAATTTGTTGGTATGAATGAAGGAATGCTTTATAGAGTTGATTTCTTCATCTGTATAGTCAGTTGAACAAAAGTCTTGAAGCTGTGTCTATAAGTTTTTTTAGTATATTGATTTTTTCGTTTGGATTCATGTGCAAAATTCCAGACATAGAGGCCTGTGTGAGTGATTTATTGGTGAATTTTGGTTTTGAACTGTGTGTTGGATCTGATAATGTTAAGAATATGTAGCTGTTTGTTATTTTTTGTGTTCAGTGGTGAATTTAATGTTAGGGTGAATGGAGTTTGTGTTAAAAAAAAGTGTGTATGTGTTTGGTAGAAGTGAAACCAGCAAAAGTGTAATCAAGATATCTGTACCAGTATAGGGGAGGATAAAGTGTGGGCTGTATGGCTGCTGTTTTGATCTGGCTCATAAATATATTGGTGAGAACAACTGAAACAGGGTTACTTATGCTTAAACCATCTGTTTGAAGAAAGTTTTTGTTGTTGAAAATGAAGTTGTTTTTTGTTGTTGTGAATTCTAAAAGGGACACAAAAAAGTTTACTGGGGATGTAAATTAAACGATTGGAGTCATTATGGTAGAGGTCAAGTGCAATATTACAAGCTTTTTTGTCGGGAATTTTAGTGAAAGTGACACAATGTCAAAGCTAGCCACTAAGGTTTAGGGTTTAGTTGGTGTAATGTGTTTCTGAAGTTAAAGACATCTTTAAAAAAGGAACCTGCAGAACTTATGTAAGGTGTGAGGGCCAAGGCTATGTATTTACCAAGAATGTAGTCATAAGTGGATAGTATAGGTCATATGGGACAGTCTTGTCTGTGTGGTTAGGGAGTGTTGTGGTGGTGTGTGTGAGTCAGTTTTCCTAAGATAAAGATCTTCAGTAATCAAGTTGTCTTTCTTCATTTGTAACGGTGTTTGGTTCAACTGTTTTTAAATACTATTTTAATTTATTTGTAAACATTTAAAGTTCCCATTGAATATATGAGACTTAGAATACTTTTTAGAGCCAAGAATCAGTAATAATGTCTGTTTAATGTATATAAAGTAAGATTTTTTGTGAACTTCCTCTATTACTCAAAATATAGGTTATATGTGTAGGGTTAAAGTGTCTTTCATTTCTGTGTTTTGTTGTGTTTAGTTATTCTTAGGCAATACTCAGTATTTTGCACTGAAATACTCTTGTGGTGTTTGTTTTCTTCACAGAGACCACCAAGAGAATATCCTGGTATTGACATGACCCCTCTCAGTTCCATCCCTGGTGGTCGGATTGAGCGTTACATGGGAAATCTCGATTTCTTCTTCATTAGAGAGACTACGAGCATACGTGAAGTAATTTAAAGTTTTTATGATTATTTCAACTGGTGTTGTTTAAGAAATAAAAGTAAAAATTAGCACCTCTTACCCTTTTGTAATTTAGAAAAGTTAGCATAACTTTCAGAAAAATAATGCTTTACTAGGGTTATTACTTAAAATACCAGTATGCTCAGAATTGTAAAGAAATCCTCAATAATTCTTACAAAATCCTCTTAAGTTATGAAGTGCAAAATGGAAATTAACTTAGTCTATACATAACATACTAAGATAGTGGTATAGGTTTTTAAAACTATAGTTCAAGATCTTATTATTTGTTATTGTTAAGACACTAATCTCAATAACAGACTGGGAAAAAAATTGGATACAATAATGTCAGTATTATTCTGTCAAGAGTTAAATTTGTTGTGTATGTTCTATATTAATGTAATAGTGTTCGAAAGGTATATATAACGAGTATTGTACATTAACAATATAAAATAAACCTCTGATAGAATAATGACATGATTATTCTAATGGTTGGGGATGTGTTTAACTGCTCACACATGAAGCCTTTTTTTGGCTTGATCATTTTCTTGCATTGTCCTCTGACGACAGACTCGGAGCTCCTTCAAGATACTACACTGTATCATTTGTTGACACTGCTTTTTTTTTTTCTAGCCTAGTAATCACATATAAAATATTTAATATGTGGTGTTTATTTAGCCACCCATTGCCATCTTTAGTTGCTGTTGAAATATGAGATGGTTTACAACATATGAATTCAAAGCTGATATTTATATATATATTTTTGACATTCAAAATGTACATGATAAGAAAAAATACAAATTTGCTATTCCTTTTACATTTTTCATTTCTGTTATCAAGTACTTAATAATAAGATTCATTATGTAAATGCTAAAGATGATGAATTGCATAAATAACATACAACAAGCTTTTTATTTTCTGTTTGTATTGTAACATGAAAACAACAGGTTTGATACACTAAAACTAATTTACCACCTTGGTTCTTCAGTGTCATTTATTATTTCATTCATTCCAATGATGGTGTGAAAAATACACTTAAAAGTGTATTTTTGTAAATATTTATAAATTAGATCCATTAGTACCATCTATTGGCTTATAAATTTTGTAATCAAAAGAGCAAAAACCATTTATTGTTTCTAAATTTTAGCCATTTAAAAGTGTATTTTTGTAAATATTTATAAATTAGATCTACTAGTACCATCTATTGGCTTATAAATTTTGTAATCAAAAGAGCAAAAACCATTTATTGTTTCTAAATTTTAGCCATTTAAAAGTGTATTTTTGTAAATATTTATAAATTAGATCCATTAGTACCATCTATTGGCTTATAAATTTTGTAATCAAAAGAGCAAAAACCATTTATTGTTTCTAAATTTTAGCCAGCTTCCAGCATATTTGTGTTAAAGTAAAGATTGGTACACTATCCAGTGAAAGGGTATATACATGGTATTTCACTTTGAAATACTTATTATCAAAGGTAAAAAAAGAAGTGATATACCCACAACATTACTTAAGGCCAGCATAGTATTATATATATATCCATCAAGTATACTGACTAAATAATTTAAATTAATGATTAATTAAAAATCTTGTATATTTAAGACTTTTCTACTTTGTTTTACTGAAGTATTTTAATCTTTTGCTAGTTGAGTAACTAGTTCTGTACAATTTTAATATTTATATGTTTATTATTTCATTCTCTCTTAGGTAGGAGGTCTTAATGGTTTTATGCATCGATTTCTATCAGAGGTGTTTGCTATTGTCCGAGCTCATGTTGCAGCCCTTGGTGGTAATGCTTTAGTAGCCTATCACATGAACCACTGTGTCTTGTTGTATAATCCTCACAAAAATCAAGTAAGTTCTACCAATTCTCAAATAAAAAGGAATCAAAGTAAGTCCTTTGAGAGTTGGATTATTTAATGTCTTTAATAAGTTTGTTTGGTGTCTTATTGCTGTTCAGAATTACAAAATGTTGAGGAATGTATAACACAATTCATAAGCTTGGTCATTACGTAGATAAGAAGCATGAAGAATCCTTATCTATTGCCCACTGGTAACTCTGCAGTACTTCTGCAGGCTTATAACACTAAAAATTTGGTTATTAATACAGACAGTGCTTGCATTCTGATCTGTCATAACTGAAGTATAATCAATTATGCGACATGAGGCTGATGATATTTTTTACTTGCACAGTTATAAGTGTTTGCAAAGAGGATGGCATGTAATAACACCTCCATAATATGATTTTTATATTCAGGTTACGAAATTTAAAGATAGTTTCACGGTATGATTGGTTTATGGTGGTGGATAGGTGAGAGAACATACTTAAAAAGTTATACATGTTTTTCTTCATTACCCATTCAAGCTGCCTCCAAGCATTATTAGTCTCAAAGAAATTTTTTTTAAATGATAATGCAAGGTTTGTAAACCATAGTAAGAAGAAGGCAGCACAATAGTTATGGCCCATCATTAATCAAATTTTAATAAGCTAATCAGTGAAAACAGCTTCTTTTATTATTTATTTTTTTTTGTATGGTAAAGGACATGAAAAGGTTGCGGAAGTTTCCAATATTTCACAAAAGTGTATAAAATAGAGAGATTACTTGTATTTGGTGCCCAGGTCATTAAAACATCAAATGGGTATGTTATATAAGTAATAAAAGTGACTAGGAAAATGCTATAAAAGAGGTGCTGTGAAAAGGTTGCGGAAAAGTTTCCAATATTTCACAAAATTGTATAAAATAAAGAGATTACTTGTATTTGGTGCCCCAGGTCATTAAAACATCAAATGGGTATGTCATATAAGTAATAATAGTGACTAGGAAAATGCTATAAAAGAGCCATCAACCAAATTTGATTGTTGTTGTGAGTAAATGTGTGTGTAAAATGTTTCATGGTTATAACCAGATCTGTTTAAACTGAAACTATAATTCCAAAACATACTTATCTCCACTGACACTATAGCTATTTCTCAATTTCCAGAGTTTCCACTCTTTGCCCAGCTAAGCATTGAAAATGCTTGTTCCAGTCTTTTATACCCCACTCTTTTGCCCTTGGCAAATTCTAATTTGCAAAATTCTCTGCCAACTTCAATGTGCCCTCTATCTAGGTATTGTATATAAGCACCTCATTCAGACAATATATTCACATTTTTTTCTTGACAAAGCATTTGGCTTAAGTTTCTATAAACAGAATTGTTGTGATTATTCACAACTTACGTTGTGACTTTGAACATAGTCCACTGACACTATGGTTATATCGTCTTTTATATTTATAAATTACTTAACCAAAAAAAAAAACATATCGAAGGGTATGAATTCCCAAGCTAATATTTCTACTATGGAAGCCAACTAGACCTCTTCTCTTCCACCTCTGCTATCTGATGTTTGTCAATGGCAAGGGGAGGGGTCTCTCTCAGTTGAAGCTGTTCGGGACATGATCTGTAGCGAGATGGAGTCATATATGTGGACCGAGGGTGTCTCTCCAGGGGATTCTGAGGCGGCTTTTGCAAATGACCTGGGACCAGCTGGATATTGGTTTTTTCCAGCTCCTTCTTTTACTAGGTCGGCCTCAATGGAGGATCATCTTGATCAGTCACCTCCAGCCCTTTTTCTTCAGTTGGTTAATCGGTTTTGGGGGTCTCTCCTATTGCATTTGACTCTACTCCTTTGTTGGTAGAGAGGACAGCAAGTAACAACTTGGTTTTTCCTCTTCTTGATGTTACTGTTCACACTGGGAGATTTTCCGCTCAGTTATGAGGTGGGATAACTATGCATTGTCTCACATTTATTGCAACGGCATGCTTTGGCTTATCACTGCCAGGAGGAGTTATATTTAGATGCTCAACGAATGAACCCACTTTTGGACCTTTGGGGGTCTAGTTTGGAACCTGTGATCACTTTAATCAGATCACAGTTTTATTGGATTTGTCTTACTCTCATGACTGTCCTGAGGTATTTATCTTGCTCAGTCAGAATGCCTTCTTCAGTTCTTTCTCTGTTTTCCTGGTTGGTTTGTTGTTGGGATTTATTGGGTAGAGATGCTTTGTTTCAATTACTGAATTGGGATTTGACAGTTGTTTTACATGCATTGTCTCATCCTCCCTTTGACCCCTTAGCTTCATGTTCTTTGTTTCACTTCTCTTGTATTTTTTATTGTTGTTGGCTTGTGGATGTTGTTGATCGAAGTTGTTTGCAATTCATGTGCATCGGACTCTTTATCATTCCACATTTGTCTTGCTTTACCTCAATAGGTCTTTTCTTCTCAAGACTGGCAGCCGGGGAAAGATTCTTCTCACCAATCCATTTGCCAGCCATTCCTCAACTTTATGACTGCTCCAATCCTGATCATTTGTTATGTCTTGTTAGAGCCCTCAAATGTTATGTGGCTCATACTAACTCATTTCGAGGTAGTAGGAATCGATTGTTCATTCATTTGAAACCTTCTATTTCCCGTGATTTACCTCCCATTACTTTAACAAGGTGGCATCATAAATTTATTCACATGGCCTTTTTTGGATTATTGTTACAGGAGAGGAATCTTTTATATGTCACATCTTGCCAGTTCGTCATATCTCTATGTCATTAGCTGCCCAGTTGAATTGCCCTCTGGAAGACATTATGCTGGCTGGTATGTAGACTACTCCTAATACTATCCTATCACATTACTTTCATGATCTGGCAGTTTCCTTTTCTGAGGGCTTTCAACTACTCCATGTAGCTATTTTGAACACATTTGTTAGATTTTCACCAGAGTTGAGTATTTTCCTCAATCATATACTCTTTTTTTTTCCAGGGTCCCTTTATTTTTTTCACTGTATCCCACTCTTGGAGAGTGTTGCCCAAGCAGGTATGCTTTCTCTTTTCAATTCTGCACTAGTAACCACTTTCGCTATAATTACTACAGGTTGCAACAGGCTCTGTTTAAATAGGATGTTCCATAAAACCATATAAGCACCTACTGGATGGTATTACCTTATTATTATGGACCTCGTGGACTATTATGAGTAAAGCTAAAGGGGATCCTGCCCACCTTCAGGTTGAATAAATTGGGATTGGTTTACTTTTTAAAATGTATGGAACCTGGTTCACGTATTGCACAGTTCCCAGAGCACTGTTCCTCGGGGCTCCCTAATGCATATTACCCCCCAGACTCTATTACTGGATCTCAGGAGTCCTTACTCTCTCAGTTTCCAGTTGCTGGGATGATAGACAGAGGCTTTTCCTCCAGAGTGTTCGAGTGTGTTCCTCCACTCTTGGGGGCCTTCCTACTTGGGTCTCTGAATGTTTTTTCCAGATGTCAGTAGGAGTAGCATCAGCCTCTGCAAGAGCCTACTCATAATTCTGGTTCAGCTTTGATATGAAGCTATCCAATTGGGGTGTGCATGGCCCTTCTCTTTGCTCAGTGTCGGTTTCGTATATTGTTCATGGTAGGAGGGGCTATCCCCAACCATATAGCCAATGTTACAGAACTCGGGGTTGTGGACTGCAATGTTATATATACTTTTGATTGGATCCCAACCTGTAGCCATAGAGTGATGCATTTCACTCTACCAAAATCACGATGAGAAAGTAAGCAACACTGAAGTGGACAAACTTTCTCCTCCACCTGAAGAAGTCCAAAAGGCAACACCCCAGGCTCGGAATGAACGGATCGTGTATGCCATACTCAACCAAAGGAACAGAACTCATCCAATATGGAATTATGAACATTCATATTCACTCCATAACCAAGTGGGGAAGAAGTATTCTGCTTGCCCCTGGAATTATGGAGAGGACGTGGAACCTGCGCTCAACCAAGAACCTAGGATGGGACCACTTCGTGTTCGGAATTATGAGGAGATAGTGGATTTACTGATGATTATTCATATTATGTTCCACCTTTGGTATTGGAACTGAGTTCTAGGTGAAGAGCATACCTGTTCTGAATGTAGTGTGGTCCCCCCATTCTTAAACCATTTTTATCTTGGTACATTCCTGTTCTTTCTGTATGGTTCATGCCTGCACCGGCCCCCCTCCACCTTCTCAGTGTGGGATTCTAGCTATAGTGTAAGCGGAGGTAAGTATGTTTTTGAAGCTAACATTTTCCTAAACTGAAAATGTATTTCCAATAATACTTACCTCCGCTGACACTCTCCCATCCTACCTCCCCACTAAAAGCGGTTTATGTGTCGTAAAGTGATTACATTATCTGACTGAGGTGTTGATATACAGTACCTAGATAGAGGGTGCATTGAAATTGGTGGAGAATTTTGAAAATTAGAATTTGGCAAGGGCATTTGAGTGGGGTATAAACAAACTGAAGCAAGTGTTTTCAATGCTTAGATAGGTAAAGAGTGGAAACACTGGATATCAGAAATACCTATAGTGTCAGCGGAAGTAGGTATTATTGGAAATACATTTTCAGTTTAGGAAAATGTTAACTTACATGCTAAATTTAAAAAAAATTAATATTGATTTGATGAACTGAATTATTTCAAGTTATGTTATTAACATTAATACTTTTAGATAATTTAATTTTTCTGTGTGTTTAGACAGCTGATTTTCGATTCCTTGCTAAACTGTACCTGTTACCAAATTTTATTTTTTATACTTATATTGAAAGTTAACACTTTGATAGCCATAACGTGGTCTTTCAGTGTTACTTGAAAGCTGACAGTTTATGAGAATTAGTAAACTAATTCAATATCAGTCCTCTTTCAGGACTTGTTTATCTGTTTCCTAAAGTTTTCTGAGGTAGTTCAAGAGTAGAATGTTATATTGCAAATACAACAAATGATCTGCCAGTAACCTTTGTAAACAGATTGTTTTATTCCATTATAGTTTTCTTTCCATAATGCATGATACTATCAAGATTTTTCAAATAGTAATATACATAACCATTCTTATGTTTTATATATACATGAAATTTCTTCCCTTAAAATAGACACAGTACTGAAGATTTTCAATCCAGATCACATCCATATGTTAATCAATATTCAGTACCATTATCTAAGAAATTTGCAAAAAAAAACAAGAATATTAATGTTGATTTCCTCAGTACTACAGTGGCAACAAACTTTTAAGACACCCTGTATTGTTAAAAGTAAAGATAACCATTATATTTATTGAGGTTTTCTTCTAATGTGAGGCTGTGAATCTCTAGGCTCAGTGTTTAGTGGATGTAGGAGGTGATGCCGTGCTTGTCCAGTACCACTCAGGTGAGCACAACTCTAGTGACGCAAGTACACGTTCCACAATGACCAGTCTTGCAGCTGCTTCAGATTCTTCTGCTTGACACATTATAAACCTGGAGGAGGAACAACGTAGATAAGTCGTCTTATAACAACTGGACTCTAAGTTTGTTTTGTTACTGAAGAGAAAGTGTTTGAAATTATGAAATGAATATCAGAAATTGAAAATTAAGAATGTCATTCAGTGAGAAAATATTTGACTGATTTATATATCAAGAAAAAACAAAATTGTTGAATACTATAAAAAAAACAAAATGAAAAACATCGGTCAGCAATAATATGTAATGAAAAGAATAAGAGTGGTAAAAGGATAAAGTAAAACAAGGCAAAAGTGCTAATTGTATAACATAACTTGAGAGTAAAAGGATAAAGTAAAACAAGGCAAAAATGCTAATTGTATAACATAACTTGAGAGTAAAAGGATAAAGTAAAACAAGGCAAAAATGTTAATTGTATAACATAACTTGAGAGTAAAAGGATAAAGTAAAACAGGGCTAATTGCAAAAGTGCTAATTGTATAACATAAGTTGAGAGTAAAAGGATAAAGTAATACAAGGCTAGTTGCAAAAGTGCTAATTGTATAACATAACTTGAGAGTAAAAGGATAAAGTAAAACAAAGCTAATTGCAAAAATGCTAATTGTATAACATAACTTGAGAGTAAAAGGATAAAGTAAAACAGGGCTAATTGCAAAAGTGCTAATTGTATAACATAACTTGAGAGTAAAAGGATAAAGTAAAACAAAGCTAATTGCAAAAGTGCTAATTGTATAACATAACTTGAGAGTAAAAGGATAAAGTAAAACAAGGCTAGTTGCAAAAGTGCTAATTGTATAACATAACTTGAGACTATTAGCATAATTAAAGCGCATTTTTGTAGTTTACATTTTCCAGCAAATTAATGCGAGTAGCCAATACATTTTTGATAATAGTAATGATTTTGAGGAAATATCTGTGGTTAGTTTTTGAGGAAAAAATATTAGTCATGCAAGATTTATATAGCAGTTACAGTTTTTTCTCCTGAAGTTGCATGCAGTGATTTGTAGAGGAAATATTATGCAAGCATTAGATAATAAGGTGTAGAATTTATATATGCATTATATTTATATTTCAAACTTTTGTTCAAATTTTGGTGCTTGTTTCTATAATGGTATTAATACTCTTAACATGTTTTATTTACGATTGTCTTTCTTAAAAAACTAAAGTTTTGGGTGAAGCTTCTAAAAATTGTAATAAGACTTAAAGACACATATATATATATATACTATCATTAATGCAGCTAGTCAGTATTCATTCTTTTTTTTTAGCTTAAAATATTATTTAGAGATTAAAAACCATTTCTTGTGTTTGAAGTATAGGGAAACTATAGTAATTGTAAATGTTTTAGTAGTTCTCATATTTTGGTTTAACATTTGTTACACAGTTATTTTGTAATTTCTAAGTTTTGCTCATTTAACTTCATAAATCAGTAACCAAATCATACTACATCAAGATTTTGATGTTTGTCAAATATCAATTTATCATTTAATTGAAGATTCTAGATTTCAGGTACATGTGATAAAAATCCTTTTTTTTTTTACAAA